GGTTCGTACAACTAGATTAGGGTACGTAGTACTAATAGGTGGTAGTAGGGTAGGTAGGGTAGTTCTTCGTACTCCTTCGTCACTATACTAGTTGTTCTTCTATTTCTATTAAACTTTAAACTTACTCTCTCTCTCTCTCTCTCTCTCTCTCTCTCTCATGAGATATTATTGTCTTGCAGTTCTTTCTGCAGTGGGTGGGATCAAGACCGCAGCATCATCCCTTAACCAAGGTACAGTTTCACAAAAAAAATTTATGGGTCATATAAGCAATGAAAGCATTACATTTTTGGGACAGAAAATCACACCCTCCCTAGCCATCAGATGTGAAAAGATGGCTGGAATATGTTGTTCATCTGCTCGAAGTCTAAATGTAGCTCTCTCCATTGTGTACATGTCCTAAACATTACGCTTTTTGTAGCTATATTTCATTTTCATGATACAATAGACAGGAAGTGTACCAATAATACTTGGGACAATGACAAGTAAAAAATATGATATCTATCTAGTGTGATATATGGAATCCAAACTACACATGCATGCATCAAAAAAGGAGTTCGATACCACAATAATAAAACTGCATGTGTTGATACAAAAGCAGAGCAAATAATCAAATTCATGCAGTGTCAGTACTTTGAATCCATGAGTTTCTTAGTTCCTCCTAGACCTCTCTCTAACCACACAAAGCACACATACATCACTCTCTCTCTCCCCCCCCCCCCCCCCCAAAAAAAAAAAACTTGTAAATTAAAAAGCTAATGCAGTTCTCTTGTACCTTCTGCAGATGCTGTTGTTGCAATCTCAGCAGTGATCTTAATCCTCTTATTTGCAGTGCAAAAATATGGGACTGATAAAGTAGGATACGCATTTGCTCCTATCGTTCTGATATGGTTTAGCTTCATTGGAATCACTGGAATCTACAACCTCTTCAAGTACGATGTTGGTGTCTTGCATGCATTTAACCCACAATATATTGTTAAATACTTCAAAAGAACTGGTAAGCAAGGATGGATATCACTTGGAGGCGTCCTGCTCTGCATTACAGGTACCCAAACTCACTTTTCTATTGAACATTGTTCAAACAGAAAGTACCACAATCCAACATAGCATGGGATATCATACTCCAAGGCCGCAATACATTCCCAGTCAAGGATGGGTAGAAACTAAATGAACCATGGAGAATGCCCCTGTGGGACCCATCCAGTTAATATCAAGCTATCTATCATTGTGAATGAATGATGGAGTAGTCTTGAAGGAATGTTGCCCATTGGATGATGGAATAATTCCCCGTTTTCAAAGGTTGATAGTTTTGCCCCCAGCAGAAGCTCATTGTCAATATTCAACTTTGGCTGTTTATTTCAACCAGAACCTTTATGACATTTCAAAGAGATTTTCTTACCTTCTTTCCAAAAACTATATTAGATTTTATTGTATTTATATTATTATTATTATTATTATTTAGTGTAACTATATCAGAAATTTTGCCTAAACAAATCCAAATATTCAAATTCAGCTCAAATCCAAAATTTCTGGCACTTTATGGTTATAGGAAAATGCTTAAAAGGAATCTAGTTAATTATCTTTCTCTTCAGGATCATCAATTAAATAACAATAACTCTCTGAAACAGGCACCGAGGCCATGTTTGCAGACTTGGGTCACTTCTCTGTAAAGGCCATTCAAGTATGTCTCAAAAATCTTCACCTGAAGTAAAATAAGCACAATATTATGATTATGTTTAAAGAGATGATGCTTTTCTCAATATCTAAAATGTTATTTGTTACCCTTGAACTTACAGCTTAGTTTCACTGCAATCGTATTTCCTGCATTGTTATGCGCATACATTGGGCAAGCTTCATATTTGAGAAAATTCCCAGATCACGTCGGTGATACTTTCTATAAATCAATTCCAGGTAAACTATTTCATAAACTGTGCACGATTTGGCTTTGCAGTTCAGTTTATGAGTTAATATTAGGGACCTCTTTTTGTTTTGGATGGGGACTTTGGGATATCTGCTGGGGTTGACCCCTGATGTCTACTCGGGGCAATACCTTTTTTCTTTGGTAAGATTATTTGGCATACTTTATCAAATACACTGTTAGTTCAGAAAACATGAAGTACTTTTTCCGAAGTGGAATATATGGTCCAATGGGATATGGGATAACCATAATCCATTAGGCTAATGAGCCTCAAATATAATGATGAAGAGTGATGGGGAGATAGGGAGCCACCATAAGGTCCATTTTTTCCCCCGACTTCCTTTTCTAGATCTTTTGATAACCACAAGACATGACAAGATGCGTATTCTATGGCAGGTCCAATTTATTGGCCAACATTTGTAGTAGCTAATGCCGCAGCTATTATTGCCAGTCAGGCTATGATATCTGGTGCTTTCGCGGTCATAGCCCAGTGTCTACCACTAGGTTGTTTCCCGAGAGTTAAGGTGATTCACACTTCTGCAAAGTATGAAGGTCAGGTGTACATACCAGAGTTGAACTACTTTCTCATGGCGGCCTGTGTGATCGTTACAGTTGCCTTCAGGACGACAAATAATATTGGAAATGCATATGGTAAGTTCTCAACTACCTGCAATTGTTATCCACAATTTTTCAGGTTATAGACATAGAACAAGGGAGTGTAGGTTACAGTTTGAAGCACCATGCAACCCATGGTTCTCGAGGGATGTGATTGTCCAATGAAGTGGTAGACAATGATGGAGAGAGAGTGAGAACTACCATAGGGGCCATCTCCTATTTAGGAGGATCCCACTCCCCTTCACCACTAACAACATTCCACAGTCCATTGGAATGTAATCCATATTTTCCTTGAAACAGATTTTGTCAAGTGTCAACCAAATTTTGGCCCAAGTCCATTTCAGCTGAACGATTGACATTCATGCCCTGAACTCATGCCCTGAACTTATAAATTCTGGACGAATTTTGAGATTCAGTATTCCATGAAACATTCATATCTTGAACACTTTTATATTTTGATCCTAAGTTCTTTACTCCAGGTATCTCTACTCTTTTAAATTAAGAAGAAAATTAATAAGATGGTTTTGGAAACACATAGCCTCAAGTCTTAGGTTTAACACTCAATAGGCTGGAAAAGGTATGAACAACTATTGATGAAGAACCAGTACAGCCTGTGCCAATTTAATCAGTGTGGACCAAAAAAATTAATTAAGCCCAGAACAGAAAAATCAGTTCTAAATCAAATAAACCAACAAGAAGATTTCATATTTTGTGCAGGCATCGCAGTGATAGCAGTTATGGTGAAAACCACATTTGTCGTAACAGTGATTATGCTAATGATATGGAAGATAAGCATATGGTTGGTAGCTCTCTTCTTTGTAGTGTTTGGAGTAGTTGAGCTGGTGTATCTGTCCTCAGCTTTGTACAAATTCAAACAAGGAGGTTACCTTCCACTGGCCTTCTCATTAGCTTTCACAATGATAATGATTACATGGCACTATGTGCACAAGAAGAGGTACCAGTTTGAGCTTGAAAACAAAGTCTCTGATGAGTACATGAGTTCGTTGGCCAATAATCCAAATCTAATCCGGATACCAGGGATGGGATTGCTATATTCTGAACTCGTCCATGGAATACCCCCCATATTTTCACATTTCATTTCAAGCATACCATCCATCCATTCAGTTCTGATCTTCGTCACGATTAAGTCCATTCCAGTCAGTAAAGTGGCACTAGAGGAGCGATTCCTCTTCCGACAAGTTGAGCCTAAAGAGTATAGGATGTTTCGATGTGTAGTGAGATATGGGTATAACGATGTAATGGATGAGCCAAAGGTGTTTCAGAGCCTACTAGTAGAATACTTGAAGGAGTTCGTTAGACAGCAAGATTTCTTTCTTGAAACTGAGACCACAGATCAATCAAATGCCAACCAAGAGGCAAAAGAAAGCAAGCAAAGAGCATCAGGGTCATCCACTGTTTATGATGAGCGCTGCCTGCAACAATCTTCCGGACCCATTCAAGCAGTTACATCTGCTCGGTCAAGAAACTCCTCTAGCCAGATTATCAGCGGACCAATTCAGGCACCACAAGAAGAGGCACAGTTCCTTCAAAAGGCTTTGGATGATGGGGTTGTGTATCTTTTGGGAGAGGCAGAGGTCACAGCAAAGGCGGGATCATCGCTGCTGAAAAAGTTTGCAGTGAACTATGCATACAAATTCATTCGAAAGAACTTAAGAGATGGAGAGAAAGTAATGGGTGTTCCAAGAAGCAGGATGCTTAGGGTTGGAATGACATATGAGATATAAAGAAAGCGTCCTACAGTTGAAGCTGTTGCACAATGCATTAACAGTCTGATAAATGAGGATTAGCACTAAACCTCAGAAAAGAAAGAAAAACATTTCTTCTTGCAATGAAAACAAAGTTGAATAGAGCAAAGAGGAGACTCAGGAGCTAAGGAAACATTTATTATTGAGATATGAGAGAGATTTGTAAAATGGGAAAATGGTGTGAAGTATGACAATGAACTTATGTTGCTTTTATTGAGAGATGAGAGAGATTGTAAAATGGGATTTATGCAGTGTCCTAGGCAATCAAAGACGTAAAAAGTAGCAGTATAACTCATGGATTTCATTAGGATGTGATACATCCAAAAGACCCTCTGGAGTTTGTATAATGAAAATGGCGCATGCACCAATATTTGAAAATATAAATTGCAGAAATTTGAATAAGGCGCAACTGTAAAATTACAAATTTGATTATCAGCCAATAAAAAAATTACAGTAATCTTGAGTCACTGTCCTCGCTTCAAATAACAACTCAAACTGAAACAAAATCGGCACCTTCTACAGCGTTCTTACAACTTATTCCTTCTTTTTTTTAAAAAAAATTGCTTCACTGGTCTGACTGAGGCCCATTTAAAACTAAGCTGACAAGATCAACATTTCCTAGAGGCCATGCTACCTCGATACTCCATCCAAGGCCTGGTGTCAAAGGTTTGACATATCTTGACACTACCACACATGGCTGGAGTTTAAATATCCATCTAATATCTATTATTTTCTTATATTAAGTCAAAGGAGGTCCCCTTTTATTATTTTGACAACTGTCCTTTTGAATTTTAAATTTTAAATTTGCCCACTTGATGTTAATTTATACATATTGATCATTAATCTCTTCATAAATCTGTCTCAATTAATGTGCATCTCACAAAATGTTATATATCGATCAATATATCTCTCTCCCTCAATTCATGTCCCAATAAATTTGGCCCAGACTTATAATACCAAAATAGTAATCGAACATACTATATTGGTAAAGATAATCATAAAGTTCATGTTTCGAAAATTTCCGTTCTCTCTCTCTCTTCTCAAATATCATTATTGTTTTGTCTCATCAAGTAGTTATCTATCATTTAATTAATTAATCATTTATTAACTATATATAAATATAATTATGTAATGTAAAAGACATGCTGCAAATATGCATAATACAATGACAATTTATGCATATAATAAGAAGAGATTTGTTTTTCTTATTGTATCAAATTATCATATGCATAAATGCAATCATCCATTATGTCTTATTCTCATTTTAGAATTTACCACTCATATTTAATAATTTTTACGCTCAGCTAATTCTCATAATCAAATTATTAATGTTTTACCAAAAATTCTAAATTTAATTTTTTAGTAAATTTAATTTTTTTGAGAAATTGTAAATTATAATTTACCAATATTAATTTATTGAATAATTATTTATTGTATAATTATTTATTATAATTTCATTAATGGATTGCAAAAGTAATTAGCATCTTAATTAAATATGGGCAAGCTTTCTATGCTTCCCCTACAGCATAAAACTTATATACTTCTCCTTATCCAACCATTTATTCTGAATGGAGGGTTAAGATTGCCCCAATCATCTCTACACTATTTTATTTTTAATTTTTTTTTATATAAACTATTTTGACACCAAATTTTGGATGTCCAATCCTCTATTAAACTCGCACTAGTAAAAACTAAAAATAACAAATATTTACAATAAAATAAACTAACCAATATACCTCCTGAAAGTTTTAAGGGGTATTTTGGTCATTATATTTTATCAAAAAATTATTTTTAATATTTTTTTATAGGTGCGCCCCAATGAGAAGATGACACGTACCAAATTTCATATTCATACAATTTGTATAAAGAAAACTAAAAATAAAATACTTTGAGACGTCGGATCTAAGATCACGGTGAGTGGCTCTCTTGATCAAAATTGGACGGCTGGATGATAGGGGAAGCATAGATCTTCTATGCTATAGGGGAAGTATAGAAACCTTTCCCATTAAATAATATGAAATACATAAGTATAATTCTGTAATCATTTATTAATAGTAAACGAATTCAAATTTTTATTCATAGACTTTACTAATGTATACTAATTAAATTAGTTTAGAATTAATAAATATAGTTGCAATTGAATTATAATTGTAATAAAATCATCTCTAAGGTACTTAATTTGGTACATTAATTTTTATATGTTATTTTAAATATTGAATAAATAATTTCCACAATTCGCTAAACTCACATCTAATATTCAATTACATGGTATAAAGAGAGAGTCATAGTCATATTTTCTGATTTGATATATTATCTCATAGCATTTATATCAATTAACGCATGATTTCTACAACATTTCGGTGAGACCAACGAAGGAGTTGCATCTTACTAGTAATCATCATCATCATCATCGAGCCTTATCCCAACTATTTGGGGTCGGCTACACAAATCATGTTCCAACATCCCGCTCTATCAAGGGACACACCCCTCAGTTAGACTACAGTAACCATATCTTTTCTCACTACTTCCATAAATGTTCTTTTGGGCTTTTTCCTTGTGCTTTTAGAGCCTTCCACTTGAACCGAATAGCCCCTCCTAACCGATGTTATCTAAGTCAACATTGCACATGGCCAGACTACCTAAGTCTATTGTTCATCCTCTTATTGCCCATTGAAGCCACCCATAAGTTTCTTCGGATGTATTCAATCCGAATTCTATCCTTTCCTGTCTTACCACTCATCCATCTCAACATCCCCCCTCTAAGCTACAGTCATTCTCTGGATATGTTGTTTCTTGACTGCCAAACTTTTCGTCCCATAAAGCATTGTTGGTAAGCACATCTCTACTTTGTCCACCCAGCTTTAACTTTATGCGCAACATCTTCCTCAATCTCTCTATTCTCATCAACTCAAGGTGTTGAAAATAATCTCTTTTAGGTACTTGTTGACCATCAATCTTAACTAATTGTTAAACTTGCATTAATATATTCTATGCAGCGCAGATCCAGTGCAGCAGCTATTAGGAGGTACAATTTGATTCAAGTGGAAGGCTAGAAAAGGGTAAGGGATAGACCCAAAAAGACATGGTTGGAAGGAGTGAAAAAAGATATAGGGACTTATAGCCTCATTGAGGTTATAGCCCTTGATAGAGTACAATGACGGACCAAGATTCGTGTAGCTGACCCCAAATAGTTGAAAAAAAGCTATGATGATGATGATGATGATATCATCTATACATTTTATCTTAGTCTGGCTAATTTTAAAACTGTTAGACTCTAGATCATCCCTCCAAAGTTCGAACTTCATATTATTCTAAAAAAAAAGTTTTAACTTTATATTGACGCCTTCTCTAGCCTCATCAATCAAAGTTATGACATCTGCAAAAAATATACACCACAGTACCTCACCCTGTAGATTTCTAATTAACTCGTCCATAACTAAAGCAAAGAGATATGGGCTCAACACTGACCCCTGATGTAAGCCCGTTGTCACTAAAAACTCACTTGTCTCTCCATTAGTTGTCCTTACACTAGTTAGCCAGCCTCATATATATTTTTTACCAAATCAATATATCCTCTAGAGACTCATTTCTTTCCAACACCCACCAAATTAACTCTCAAGGTACGTTATTGTATGCCTTCTCTAAATCAATAAAGGACATGTAGACGTATTTTCTTTTCTCCCTGAGCTTCTCAATCAATTGCCTAAGTATGAAAATAGCTCAATGGTCTTTTCTTTTCTCCCTTACCATGTAGAGGTCGTTTATTTTCTCCCTGATATACTTGTTTCATGTCGTAGCCTTTGCTCAATCACTCGCCCAGAGCTTCATAGTGTGACTCATAAGTTTCATCCCTCTATAGTTTGTACAATTATGTATATCTTATTTGTTCATGTAAATAGAACCATAGCATTTGTTCTCTATTTGTCTGACATTTTTGTTATTCTTAAAATCATGTTAAACAACTTAGGCAACCCCAATTTGCCAATCTCTCTCATGCACTTCCAAATCTCTATTGGGATACTATTTGGTCCTAAAGCCAATCCTATCTGCATCTTTCTCGAAGATTCTTTCACTGCGGATATCATAATCCAACGAATGTATTTATGACCTCTGACCTCATTTCTGTCGAAGGTTCCTCCTAGCATTATGCTCCCATAGTGGTCGTCATTTAACAAATTTTGAAAATAAATTCTCCACCATCCATTGACCTTGTTATCCTTCACCGAGATCTTCTAATCCTCACTTTTAATGCATTTAATATATCTAAATCACTACATTTCATCTCTCACTTTGTTAGTTTGAAGACATCTTTTTCACCATCTCTTGTTTCCAACTTATTTTATAGATCACCATATGCCTTAGGCTTAACCTTACGATTTTCTTAGAGTTGTTTTTGGCATATTTATATTCTTCTAAGTTTTGATCATTTATATTCCATTGTCAAGCTTTGTAACTTGAATGTTTTTTTACTAATAGCCCTTTGAACCTCATCATTCCCCACCAAGTTTCTTTATCTGAATGTCTTATCCCTCTAAATTCTCCTAAAACTTCTTTTGCAACTTTCTTAGTATAATTAGTCATCTCATTCCACATAAAATTGACTTTGTCATCAGAATTCCTTCTTTTATCAATTTATTCTTAAATAGGTATATTTTCTCTTTATTTAAATTCCACCACCTAGTTTTTGGACACCTATTATTTCCACTCCTTATTTTTTTATCTCTTTATACAAATGTCCATAACTATGAGCCTATGTTGTGTGGTCATACTTTCTTCTGGGATAACCTTACAGTCTTTACATGATGGCCTTTCTGCCTTCTTAACTAGAAAAAGTCTATTTAGCTTATATATGATCCACTTTTGTAAGTTATTAAATGTTCTTCTCGCTTTTTCAGATAGGTATTTGCCATTGCTAAGTCGTAAGCTATAGAAAACAAAAAATATGAGCATCAACCATCTCATTTCTTTTCTCAAATCCATATCCTCAATGTACTCTTCCATATCTTCTACTATCCTTTCTTACATGACCATTTAAGTCCCTCCTAAAAAGTTCATCTCTCCATTCGATATTCTTTAGACTAGTCCATCCATGTCTCCTAGAATTATTTTTTAGTTCTATCATCTAGACCTACCTGTGACATATGAGCACTGATTACATTAATTATCTCCTCCCTTAACACAATTTAAATTAGGGAAAATATCTCTTTATCCCCTATTTTTAACTTTTATATCTCATGAGATCCAAGAATTGAAAATATTACTTATAAGCAAAAGGTATATATCTTTTCTATCTTACAACCCCCTGGATCGCTTTGACCATAAATTTTTTACCCAAACAAATACTAAAATGACATTCTATTTAAACTCCATCTCTCTCTCTCTAAAACTCCATCTTTCTCTCTTCGCTTCTCGGTGAGTTTACCTGCCAAGGGATTTAGCTTAAGCTCGAACACGAGCACACCTTCTTATGTGTGAGAGAGAGATGGAGTTTTAGAGAGAGAGATGGAGATTAGGTTTGAAAGAGAGAGA